TTATACCTTCTAATCTACTGGGTCTCCTGTAATTTTAGATGGCTTCTGTCCCATTCTGATTCTACCTGTATTCTACCTGCAGTCCAGATCCCCTACCCTCTTCTTCTATGACCCTCTCCTCTCCCCTCAATTACATTCTAGTAGAGGTGTGACATTAGGGTTGAACAGCTAGGGAGAAAGGTAGTGCAAGTTAGTTAAGGTCTGACAAGAAAGGAAGGAAATACTTTATTTACTTCTTTATTTCTTTATTTTTATGTATTATATGTATGTATTTATGCAATTATTGTATTTATGTTTTGCAGATTCCAGACAGTACCATTACTATATGGAGCTCAGAAAGTGACAAAATTGAAGTTCTTGATCTCATAACCTTGCGTGATAATGTAGGTGAAGATGCTGTTTATGTTGACCTGCCAGAAGAACAGATGAAGGAATTTGAAGAAGCAAAGAATGGGGGAGAAGGGAATGGAGCTGTTGGATTTCAGCTTCTTCCAAGTAATGTGTCTGTGTGGGTAACAACAGGGGTTGCCATTGCAACAGCATTGGCTGCTTTGTATTTGTATGACTAACCTTTTTTTTTTTTTTTTTTTATACAAGGTAGGAAACTACGATATAAAGCATTTTAATCATGCATGCAAAGACTTTCCAACAAACTCACACTTACACTCACACTTTTTTTCCTACCTCCTCCCTCTTCCTTCTCCCTTGTTTTTTTTTTTTACTCTATGCTCCTTCTCTATTCTTTATTCCCCTTTCTCTCCGCTTTCTCCTCTCTCTCCTGCCTTCACTTTCTGTGTTGTACATATTACTAATGTTTAAGGTAACAGAATACTTTGTATACCTAGGTAAGATATATAGATATATACCTATATACACAATTATGGGTGACTTTAATGGGTGAGGAAATTATATTACTGGTTAATGGTAATTGTACTGGGTATATTCTTCCATATTTTTGACAATGGAATATTAAAATATATCTCTAATAATGTGTTTTATTGGACTGAATCATGCTTGCTTTTCTTATAGCTTTATGATTATTTTACTAGAAACAAAAGAAGACCATTATATTCTCCATGGTAATTTGAAAAGCATTAAAATTGTCTCATTAATCCAGTGACAATGGCAGCCCCCCAGTGTCAGGGAGTATGAGGAGTCTATTGCTGAAAAGAAAAATCAGAAACATAGGAAATGTAAAATTATTCTTTTGGTTGCATTATAGAAAATATTTCAGATAATGAGCCCCAAAAGAGGCTTTTACCTTTTGTTTGGGAGATATTTCTCCTTGGTTAATGCAACCAGGGCCAAACAAGAGCACAACTGTTTAGTGTCCATGACTCAGCAATTTGTGATGTGAAGACTCCATTCTGGATTGAGGGGTGGTCTACCAATGTCAGGGTGTCATTGGGTTAACACATAGGAACAACTGGTTTCTATCAACACTAAAGAAAATATACTAAAAGTATTATGGGAGGGAAAGTTCAGATTTTTCTTTTCCTTTTGCACAGGGAAGACAGATGTATGAACTAAACATTTGTTTGGTCTTGTAATAGAATACCTATGGATTTAAGTCATCTAGAATGTTGGGTTCCCATGTAAACAAAATCAATTATATTTCCTTCCCTACTGAAATGAGAATTTAGACCTAGATATTCCTGAGGGATTACATTGTTTGGTAACTCACATTGGATTAACAACATTTTTGAATCACTTGTAACTATTTCTAAAGATTGAGAAAGAGAAAGAGAGGGAATGAAGGAAGATATTGGAAAGGAAGAAAATAAATGAAGAGGAATATAAAAAGATTGAGGAAAGATGAAAAAAAAAATGATGTCTCAAAAATTTTCTTTCATCCCTCACTGGTACCTTGGAGCATAGATTACCCTCTGGTCCACCGTACAAAGTTCCTAGGACCTCTAAAACTCCCACCAATTGAAAGCAGTTCCTGTTAAGATGGCATTTCCAAGGAGATATATAAGGCCTGCTACAAGGTCCTAAGGCTCTTCTAAGCCCAAGCCATGCGACCACTTATAGACTATGCTCTTCTTTGATCACTGTCATGACCAGTCACTCCACAGGACACACATGAAGTAATATGATGGCAACACAGTTTTCAGCTAGTATCACATGTCCCTTGGTGGTCTTTCTATTGAGGCCGTTAGGGGTAAAGGAGGAAGGAGGAGGTGAGGAAAAGAGAAAGAAAGGAGAGGAAATAAAGGAAATTAAAAAGTGGGTCAGCCAAAGCTTGCTGTTAAAAGCTCACTTACATCCCTTGACGTAAACTATTACTTTTACTATGGAAGCCAGATATGATATCACATAAAATGCATGATAATTGTGACTCGCCCAAAAGTGTTAGATACAAATATTAATACGAGGCCGACTTACTCATATCTGTAGCCCTGGGAGATGATGAGTATTGATGTTGTTGCATACTTTCTCTCCCAGTATAGGGGTCGATACTACAGAATTTGAGAAGAGGTACTTTAATCAAACTTGCCAGAAAAAAAACAATGCTGCTGGGCAGGGCCGGATTATGACCTTTTGGGGCCCCTAGGCTAATGAAATTATAGGGCCCTCCAGAATATTTTTTACTCGTGATATATTTTAGCGACATTTACATAGCTTGAAGTAAACTTATTGCAAATTCTTTAAATAAACTAGCATAGCTATCTTTTGTTTGTCAATAAAGATGTTCTTTAAGTACCACTATTTTATCATATTTCAACGCAACCGTAGTGAAAAAAAACATTTTTTTTATAACCAAGCCTCTCAAGCTTGAGGGGCCTTAGGCTGCAGCCTATACTAGCCTATAGGATAACTGGCCCTGCTGCTGGGTCTGTTGCGTAAACTGTGAATGGAAATTTCGAAACCTTCTAATTTTCCTCCACCATAAAACCATATGGACGGTACGTATACCTACAGACAAGATAAGCCACTATGCTTTAATAATGTCAATAGTAATGATGACGATGATAATCTTAATAAGGATAATAATAATGATAATGATGGCAAAAAAAAGGATGATTATGATATTAGCATAGGTAATAATAATTCATCACCATGTTCTCCCCACTAATTCTTTTCGCCACAATACTTTATCATAATGCTCCCTACTCTCTAACTACTTCCCCTTCTAACAACCTTTATAATATACCATACCCTATTATACCAAACCCTTTTCACTACCATACTACCCTTTATTACTGTTCAACCTGCAACTTTACCCAAACGATGAACTCATTCCCGCAACTGTACTTTGTCATATGACCTTTGATGTCATATAGCACTTCCTGGCTTTCCTCCCAAGCCTCACGATATCGCTATATTTTGAATACGCACCTAGTGACCTTATCATGATTGATAATGACAATAAATGTGATAATGATGATAATATAATAGTGATAACTTGGTGATAATAATATTGATAATACTGATAATGATAATGATAGTAAAAATGATAATGATAATGATAGTAAAAATGATAATAATAATGATAGTAAAAATGATAATGATAATGATATTAATAATGATTAAACAATAATGATGATACTTGTAATAATGATAATAATGGTAATGAAAATAAGTGATAATGAAAATAATTATTATAATAGTAACAATGAAAGTATAAATGATGGTGATGAGTAAAAAAATATATATATTACGGCTACCTATGTCCTTATATTATCCCATTTTTAAAAATTAATTTGCACATCCAAGTCCGTGACAGGAATCCCGCAGGTCTTTTGAAAACGCAGCATGCGGGCAAGATCTATATTGGCCTTGCATGCGGGCTTCGGAGGCCGCAGAATGCCGACCACTAACCCAGAAGACAGCTGTACTAATATTATGTTACATCTTTATGTCTGATGGACTAGAACTCTGACTAATAATGATTTAAGCCAGGGTAAGAAGAATTAGTTTGATCATAAGAATAAGAAATATTAATTAGATTGTAACATTTTAAGTAGCTTTTGTTTTCTTTTTCTTTATTTCGTTATGATAATATCATAAAAATCCTTAAAGTTGGACAATCATGTCGATCAGTTTGATGAGTGCATTCAAACAACCATGAACAAGGTTCCGTCTATAAATGGTGAAAAAGACAACTTTTTAAATATATATGTTCCTTTCTTGTGTCTTCTATGAATCAGCGACTTTAAACCTAGTCAGCTTCTTAGTAGTTTCTTTACTCAGGTGAGGGAGAAACTACTGGCTCCCTTTGTATTTCCAGGCGGGCACGATTTACTCCGTGCACGTGTATCCACTTGCAATTCTCTCTGCCTCTGTCTGTCTGTCTGTCTGTCTCTCTCTCTCTCTCTCTTTCTCTCTCTCCCTCCCTCTCTCTCTCTCTCTCTCTCTCTCTCTCTCTCTCTCTCTCTCTCTCTCTCTCTCTCTCTCTCTCTCTCTCTCTCTCTCTCTCTCTCTCACACACACACACATACACACACACACACACACACACACACACACACACACACACACACACACACACACACACACACACACACACACACACACTCAGACACACACACAGACACACACACACACACACACACACACACACACACACACACACACACACACACACACACACACACACACACACACACACACACACACACACACACACACACACACACGCACACACACACGCGCGCGCGCACATACAGTCTAAAGGAAAAGAAACACATTTCATTTTTCTTTTTATTAGAAAAATTAAAATGGCACATACTTGCATGCATTAACAGTGGCATAAGTCTGGCATGAAACATATGTGGCGTTAACGATCGTTTTCAGCCTTGGATAACTAACACTATGGACTACTTTCTTCCAAGAATGAATAAGAAAATAAGCCCTAAGAATATGTAATCTAGAAGAAGATTGAAAACAATCGATGACATCACACACGGTGTTTCCATAATATTTAAAATTGATATTTATTTTGAATTTTATTACAAATTTATAATTCTCAAAATGCACAAAACAAGTGTAGAGAGGATGGCACTTGTTATAAAAAATTCAGTGTAAAGTTTCAGGTTTTGACACACTTTGCTTTGGTTAACATCAGTCGCTTGAAAGTATTTACATACAACTTTGAAATTGTCTTTGCATGGTACCAGCTATGATTTGTTTATTTTTCTTTTCATTACAGAACCTATGTCATTATAGAGAAAGAACATTTTTTTTCACCTAGTACTCACAGAACCGCATCGTAAAGATAACAAAAGCAGCTATTCATCAACCTAAGTAAAGTGTACCATAAAAAGTCTTGTGGTCAGAAGATACGCGTCCCTGTACCTTAATGAAAGGGACGAAGCCCATGCAAATAATTATCTTAAATCAGAAGTGGGCATAGCACCGTCTTGACCATATGAAACCCTGCAAGGAATAATATGAAACACTCTACACTCAAGGTAAGCATAATTCAAAAAGATATTTTTGTGAGTCGACCCGAGATGTTTAAACCGTTAGGCCTGTCATTGGAATTTGTTAAAAAATAAATTAAGACGATTGACTTCATCGTCACCTAGTTACTATCTATAAGTTTAATCTGCAAGGATGACGGTGTTGATTACGCAAGGCATATACAATTCACCTGTTAATTAGTAACTTTTATATTTATCTATTTACTGTACTTGCTAAAGAAATTGAAAGGCTGTTTTAAAATGTCATAAAATATTGATATGTCCTACAGTGGAAACATTTTCAGCGAGAAAACACCCAGGCAGTCTGGCTATGTTGAGAACTACCTGTAGGTTTAGTGCATCGTCGTCGTCGTGGTCGAAAGAGTCTTACTGATTTTTTTTTCCTCTTTGATAAAAGATTCAGTGCCATCTAATTCACCTTCCCTTAACTCATTACTTTATAACCTTCACCACAAGCTCGGAGTCAGATGACAGGTGATCGGTTATACTAGCAAGTACGAGAAACATGTAATCAGTTTACGATGCTTTTCTACCTGTGAACAGTCTCAAGGACGCACGAC